AATACGTTTAAAGTCATTCAAATGACGAGGACTAAGAGAAAGTATTTACTTTTTTGAGTTTCTGGTACCCCTGGGTGCTATAAAGTATTTACTTTCCCTACCAAATGTACATATTGAATTTTCATTTTTATTTTTGTTAAATGTTATTTCATTTCTTTGTGATGCTTAGTTTGACATGTAACCGCTAAGGATGCTACACGCAGTCTGACATGTCCAGCACTGCTTGTAAGAGGGCATAGTTTTTATTTAATTTGGGATAAATTGAATAAAAATATAGGTTTTACACTTGTGAATTTTTTAGTGGACCTAAAACTAGTGGAGCTTAATTTAGCAAAAGCTAATCTGTCAGCTATTTAACGGTTTCCAAAGTTAGCATAGAAGCTAATCTGTTTAATGTGGGGCGCAGAGCTTTGTACTGTTGATTCTGATTAAAAATGTAGCAAATACTTGTATTTATATTTATGTATGTCTGTGTTTCAATAATATCTAAGAACTTGTTTGGTTAAAAATATCAAACAAAAARAGGAAAAGACGACACTAAACTTACAAATAGGAAAAACCACAAGTAAACAATGTTGCCACAATCATGATCAAAACATTTCTACCTTCAGAAGAACATTTTGTTGATTCAGACATGATTAGAAACGGTGCTCAGATCTGACAGCTCGTGGTTTTTAGAGTACAAAATATTACACTAAATTTTTTTTTACAAAAATATAATGTTTGTGAGTTTGTTTCTATACAAAGACATTCAGTAAAATATAAACACCTATTACAAAATACNGATATAGCTGCGCAGAAAAATTTATTTACAAATGAATTCAAATATGTCAACAAGGGAACTTACATGTTGGAGCCAGAATCTGAATAGAGGATAGAGAAATCTGAATAGGTTAAAAATATGACCCAAACAGAATATATAGATATCCACGCAACTCCAGGAGAGATTAAATTCAACTTTTCTGCCTCCTAGAAACTCCAAGTACACAACAAGGCTAAGAAGTGGATCTTGCATTATATGTGCCCTTTAACACTGTAGAATGGTTAGTTTGTAACGACTAAGTGGAACAGTTATCCAGATCGACTTTCTGTTTATATCAGTGGGAAAAGACTCTGCAATACGATTCATTAGACTGAAGTCAGTTTAGCTGTGAGAACTGCATGTCTGATACATCCTAAAGTCTTTCTTTTGTTAGACACTGAGTTATTTTATGTCTCTTCAGACRTACCTGCAACAAATGCACAACAGATATGTTTATAGATCCAAGGCTTGTACAATGCAGCCTAAAGATATTTTCCCATCAGTAGAGTAAACTGTAGAGGGAACTTGTACAGTTAGTGTATGACATCAGCCATTCATGAAGTAAACAGGTGTCACCAACTGATACACTGTGACATGGGTGTACTACACTGTGTGAAATAAATATTGGTTACAAACCTGTGCTCCAGTCTAAATGTCCAGATGACAGTGGCAACACTCTGGCCAGCTCACAATGTCAGCCCATGGTTGATGACACCATCAACTAAGGTCTAAGTCTTAAAAGAGCAACATGTGACTCCTGTTGTCTGTTGAAGAATGTTCATGGGTTGACTGTGTTATTTTAGTGCTTTAGAATTAGCTTTTGCTAAAA